CAGGATTACCATTCCCTAACTTTGTAGGCTAGTGGAATTATCGTTGGGTGGCAGACGGTGTACAATTTGGCATTGGATTGCATCTGTTTTTCATCCTCATTAAGCGTTTATTCCATTGTGGAGAGCCTGCAGCTATTAGTTGGTAGTAGTTCCGGCTACGAAAACATGCAGAGGCTAGTCTGTGGGGCTACTTTCGGCTACACACGTTCATTCGTTGTGTGTGTGTTTATCATTTTTATGATATTTTGCTTGTTGTTGTTTTTAACAGTGCTCGCGAGCATTTGCGAACATTTGTTTTGAGTTTTTCAAAAGAATGTTCTTCAGCAACAAATGCAAATGAAAACATTCGTATTCTCGCCGTGAGCATTCGTGAGAAAGAGCGTATTTTAATCATTCTCCGCACCCTGCCCTTTCAGCGATTGTTCCATTGTAGAGAGTCTGCAAATATTAGTTCTAGTGGTAGTAGCTTTGGCTATGAAGCTAGGCAGAAGCTGTAGTCTGTGCGGTTCTAGCCTGGCAGGTGGTATTGGCCTTTCGGGGAGCATCGCGGGAAGAGCTTCGGCTCGGTGCACGTGTCCAAATACGTGTGATCGATTGGTACCTGCTTACTGGTATTTATAGCATCGCGGTATTATGCTCACCCAAGTACTCTAAGCGAACTGTTATATAGGGAGTATTCAGCAAAACGATAGTACTTAAGAAAAGTACAAATAATAAGACAACCAACGATGGAATAAAGGAGTGATGTTCTCTCTTACCCTAACGTTCACTATTGTACTGGATGAAAAAATGAATGAAGTCTGCTCTCAGAGAAGACATATGGAAGACTTAGATGATGTGGATAATATCTGCCTTCTTTCTCACAAAATATTCAACGGGTCTAGAAGACCTGGAGAGGCTGGCTCACAATGTTGAACTTAAAACCAACATCAAAAAAGGTAATGTATGTGTGTGACCTTTAGATGTCAACGTCCGCCGCTAGAAAATATAGCTTTAAAAGTCAAACTTTAAGTCGCAGTCGAGGATATGAATTTCAACCAGACTGAAAACGGGGATAATTACCAAGCTATGACCATGGTGCTGAATGTGCCCATCAAATGCCGAAGCTACCCCGGATAGGGGCATATTCGGCGAATTTGACTTTTTTACATTACTGTAAAAATGTTTAACTAATAATAATTTATTATATATTTTGGTACTAGTTTTTATAATTAAGTATCAGAGGACAATAATCAGCCATAAAGTTTTTATATATGTTAAATAATTACTGTGATATAGAGTTCTAAACAAAAAGTGCCGAATGTGCCCCAGTCTCCCCTACTAAATATTTGAAAAATACAACTTCTTTATTGTTCCTTTATTGTTTCCCATATATTCCTTATTATAAGCGGAAACTCTGTTATGAAAATTCCGTCCGATTTCATATTCGATTTTTCTACTGAATTACTGCATAGTCATCCCTTTCGCACAATATTCTTATTTGACGAAGAACCTCCTCTCTATGCTTCCTTAACAAAATTGCAACTTCGTCAAATCAGTTCTATCGTCGCAGTCTTAACAAACGGTCGCGCTTGAAATCGCTCTTGATTGTTTTGTGTCGTTCTTGTCGGAAATCCTCAAAAAGTGAATTAAAAGTTACTAAATCGTATAAATAAATGTATGTTTATCATTTGAGAAGTGTTTTTCCAATTCGAATTGTGTTTTTCTGTCCAAAAAATCATTTATTTCACAATCAAGAGCTGCGAGTGAGACAGTGTGTGAATGTGTTAGTGTTAACGAAAGAAAATTCCCTTTTGTTTCTTTGTGTGCAATAAAGCTTTACGATTTTGCGCGGGAATGTTGAAATGAGCGATAAGCTCTTTTTTGTTTTTGTGTTCACCTCCTTGTTAATTAGAAAAAAAAGAGACAACAAAATGTTGTTGTGGTTCTTTTGTGAGAAAAAGTGTTGTTTGCAGGGCTGCCATATTTGCCGATTTATCGGCATTTTGACGATTTTTCACTCTAAAAATGGAAAATGCCGATTTTCCGATTTTTGCCTCAGAATTGCCGATATTTCAACAATCGACACAAATAGTCTAACTTTTTAATTTAATACGGCGTTACCATACAATCATATAAAATTGGCAGCTTTAAATCATTATAACTATCGGCGACTCGCCGCAGCCGTTTTCAATGGCTTAGATATCTGCATTTTTTGTCAGCATTGTACTCTGTCTAGTTTACATTTTACATCGAATAAGGCAAATCTTTAGACTCCGAGTTTAGGGAGTTAAACTTTCTGAATTTTGAAGAAATTTTTGAAAATGCAGATATTATTTAAAAAGTTTTTGGAAAAAAATTTCCGAAATTAAACGTGGGGACTCCAATTTAGCTTTTCCAGTTTTGTCTAAATTTGTACAAAGAATTATGGTTCTTCCACACTCCACAGCAAATGTGGAACGAATTTTTAGTCAGGTAAACCTTAACAAAACTAAAATTAGAAGCTCGGAATTCAAATTGTTTTAATATCAAAATTGATAATGATTTACTAAAAATGTGTAATAAAAATATGTACTAGTTTGTAAGCTATTTTTATGACCTTAATACCACACTGTGTTATACGTAAATCTGAAAGATCTCACTAGTGTACATAATAATTACTATATTTTAGAAAAATCTACATTTTTTGTAGAAAAATGAAACTTTTATGTTATTTTTTTTATACAGAATTGAATTTGTTACCTTTTTTTAATGTAATAAACAATATTGATTTGTTATAAACCAAAAAAAATATGAATTTATTTATAAATTATATGCTGCCGATTTTTTGCCGTTTTTTAAAAATACAAATGCCGATTATGCCGATTTTTTTCCGAAAAATTGACGATTTTTCATGAAATTTAACTGGCAGCACTGGTTGTTTGTGTTTTTCCCTTTTGTATAAATGAAAAAATGAGAGTTAATGAGAAAATATACAAAAATGTCCGGTTCCTTGGTGCAAATATAGAAGAAAGTAATTTTAGTATATTAAAATGGCCTGTTATGTGAGAAATTTTGTTGTTGGTGTCTCTGTCTATATGAAAAAATTATAGTTAATGAGAATATAAAAAATGTCCGGTTCACGTGTGTAAATATTGAAAATGTTAAAAATATATAGAAAAAAAGAAATTTTAATATATTGCAATGGCCTGTTTATTCGAAAATGTGCGTTTAAGTGTAAATGTGCGTTTAATTAAAATTTTTGTGTTTATTAAATTCTCCAATTTCTTATCGTATCAAATGTTTTCATCGTTCGGAAAGAGGTAATTTGCATGTCATTAGAGATTTAACTATTTATTTTCCTTATTTAGATACATTTAACAGAAATTTGTTCATTCCATTTAAAAAATTATATACATACAGTGAGTATAATAAGTATTTTGCCTCAATACAAATTTGACAAAATTCGAATATATACGCCTAAAGCCAGCATACTAAAGATGTAAAATGAATTATTTATGATGGGATATGTTTGTGGACATATTTAGATCTTATTTCTGCAAGAATCACTGCGAAAGACCTATTTGTCTCGAAGATATCGGCCAAAATCTATACCAACCCAAAAATGATGATCACAAAAAAGTATTTTGCTTTTTATTATCATTTTTGAAAAAATCATTATATAACACACGCTTTGTCTTTTTATAGTTACCACTGCGGGTAACCACATACTAAAAGCGATTTGGCGACGATTCCAATAAACCACAGCATTTTTTCGCGAATATTTTCTCACATTTACGTTCATTACATTCTCCAGCAATTTTTCATTTAATATATGGTAATTTCTCGTCCTAATCTCGTCCTAAATGAGAGTATTAGATATGGTCGTCGCGGCTTAAAAACATCCCGAATAAGTTTAGAATAATAAAAAGAAGGTTTTGAAAAATAAGCCGCGAGGACAGGACCTTAAAAACTATTAAAACCAAAATCCGACAAACAAATTGTCTAAAAAAAATATCGCGAAACCCCATTTTTCTGACTTTGATTACTTTATGGTTCATTAATATTGATCTAGGAACCATATATGCGATGAATTTGACAAAGCGTGTGTTATATAATGATTTTTTCAAAAATGATAATAAAAAGCAAAATACTTTTTTGTGATCATCATTTTTGGGTTGGTATAGATTTTGGCCGATATCTTCGAGACAAATAGGTCTTTCGCAGTGATTCTTGCAGAAATAAGATCTAAATATGTCCACAAACATATCCCATCATAAATAATTCATTTTACATCTTTAGTATGCTGGCTTTAGGAGTATATATTCGAATTTTGTCAAATTTATATTGAGGCAAAATACTTATTACACTCACTGTATATCAAATTATAGATTACAATAAAATTTGAACTATGTTTGACACATTTAAATCACATACTGTTCATCCATATAGTGGAGGGTATGCAACTCCTCGTAATAGTAATTTTCTACCCTATATCATATGTTGCGCAGAAAGATTTATTATTTGTTTTCCCCGAAGAAAACACTTTTTGTTTTAATTTAAAAAAAAAAAAATTACAATTTTATTTGTTGCTCCGTATGCCGGTTAAAAGTCAACTCCCTAAACATAATTACATTCCCTTCTTGTAGGGCCACATACAAAACAAGTGGAACAAAACGAAATTGAAACATAAAACAAATTGACGATCAAAACAAAACAAACGACAGTTATTAATAAGTATGTTACATACATACATATAAAACTGTCAACAATGCAGTCAAACAATATTTGAATATTGTTGTTGTTGCTTTCCTAACAAGACGAACGACAAAAAGGGCGACAAAAAGAATGCAAAAACGTTAGGGTGGGCCGATTATTAAAATTAACAAAAAACATTAAGGTAGGCCGAACAAAATATGAAATTATAATAAATTAATTAAAATTTAAAATAAAACATAAAAATATATAAAATGATCTCCTCCAACATCCTCCCCCCGTTGAAATGCCAAATTTTCAAACATCTTCTGGGCTTGGTAAAGGGGCTATTTTATGGATTGGGCGACACGATGTTCCATGTTTTGTTTCAACTCGACCACTCGGATCTTTCCATCACGGCCTGGTATTGTTTTTGTAATTCTCGCCAAGAGCCACTGCTGAGGGGGTGTGTTGTCCTCGTGTATGATGACCAATTGTCCTTCATTGACATTCTTCTCATCGGTGAACCACTTTGACCGTTGCTGGAGAGACAGAAGGTAATCCCTGGACCACATTTGCCAAAATTGTTGTTTGAGGTACGAAATACGTTGCCATTTATTAAGTAACGATGGTTTGGTAACATCAAAATGTTGCTCAGGTATTGCCACCAGAGATGAACCAATAAGGAGATGACCTGGTGTCAACGCCTCGCCGTCGTTGGGATCGTCTGACATGGGAACAATTGGACGAGAGTTCAATATAGCTTCGATTTCGACTACCAGTGTCTGTAATTCTTCAAATGTAAGGTACGACTCCGTTATGTTCTTGTTGAGCAACGTTTTTGTGGATTTTACCGCTGCCTCCCACAATCCACCGAAGTGTGGGGCGCGTGGAAGTATGAAATTGAATTCAAGACCCATTTGACAGCAAATCGATTTCAATTTTTGGGCAACTTCATCATTAAAAAATGATTCTTTGAGCTCTTTTAGTTTGTTACAGGCTCCTACGAAATTAGTTGCGTTGTCGCAAAAAAGCTTCTGGGGAATTCCACGTCTTCCCACGAATCGTTTGAGACACAATATAAAGTTGTTTGCTGACAAATCCGATACGAGTTCTAAATGGGTAGCTTTGGAACTGAAGCAAACGAAAACAGCGATGTATGTTTTGTAGGGTGACTTCCCTCGAATTCTATATGACGTCATGAAAGGGCCACAAAAATCAACTCCAGTTACCAAGAATGGACGTTGAGCTCGAAGACGATCAACTGGCAAATTTCCCATTATTTGCCCCAACAATTTTGGCTTGTAGTGAAAACAATGCACGCAATTTCGAACAATCTTTCGAACTACTTCTCTGGCATTGATTATCCAGATTTTCTGACGTAAAATGCCCAACAACACCTTTGGACCGGCGTGCAAATGACTTCGATGCAAATGCTCTACAAACAGCTTGACGAATCGATGGTCTTTGGGCAACAGGGCAGGAAATCTTGCATCATATGGAATCGGAGCATTTGTTAAACGTCCGCCAACTCGAAGAATATTAATCTCCTCATTTCCCACTTTCATTTTGTGCAAAAATGGGGTTAATTTTTGCAGAGATCGATGAGCGACGTTACCATTTGCAATTGCTTGTATGTCCGATGAGTAACATGACCGCTGGACCAGTGAGATGACCTTCCAAAAGGTGTCTTCAAGTTCCTTAGGAGCTATGTGGACAACATCTTTGACTTTCAAAAAACGACTTATGGGATACCTGTTGAAAATACGAAAAACATAAGCAATTATTCGAATAAATTTATAATATGAAGATTGCTTATCCAGAATGTCATTAATGACATTGTTTTCACAGGCTGTGTTTTTAAAGACGGCGGCCTTTCTGCGTTCTGGGACTTCAATTGTCATCACGTCTTCATTACCTGGCCACTTTGAGACATCTTCTTCTAGAAACGATGGGCCACGAAACCAGATGGTATTCGACAATTCTTGAGCACAACAACCACGAGATACGATATCAGCTGGGTTACTTTTCGTTGGGACATGTCTCCAAATGATGTTTCGAGTTTCTTCTTGGAGTTCAGAGACACGATTTGCCACGAAACAATTCAAAGTTGACGAATGCATTTTGAGCCATTGGAGTACTATTTTCGAATCAGTCCAAAAGTACAACGATGAGACGAAATTTTCAATTTTAGACTTGATTTTGAGCCACGTTTTACTGAGTAACACTGCAGCACACAATTCGAGACGAGGTAGAGATTGGGCTTTGATAGGAGCTACTTTTGATTTTGCAATCAGTAATGTGGTTTTGTACATACCATTTTCTGAGACACGATAACAAATACAACAACCATATGCACGTTGAGAAGCATCTGCGAAACCATGTATTTCGCCATGTCGATTGGACAACGTAAGTACATATCTTGGGACTTCTACTTGATAGATGTACGATAAATCTTCTTTGATTTGGAGCCACAAAGCCTTGAGATGATCGTTTAGAGGATCATTCCATCCAATATTTTGAACCCATAATTCTTGAAGAAGAATTTTGCAACGAATAACGATTGGGCTCAAGTACGTCATCGACGTAAAGATCTTGT